ATCATACACCACTCATCATACACCACTCATCATACACCACTCATCATGCACCACTCATCACGCACCACTCATCAGCTCCAGTTAGCTCTAGCTTCAATAGCTCTAGCTCCAGTTAGCTCTGGTTTCAACAGCTCAAGCTCCAGGCAACTTTGTGAACCTCCATGTGCAGATTTCGTGGCAGGTGCATTACAAAATGCGTTTTCGAGAGATAGCGGACGCACGAAATGCTGTATTTTTCAGTAGAACCGGTGGCTTCGAACCTGGCAAGTCTAGCTCTGCGGAACGACGGTTGCGAGACGGTCTCGGGTCATGGTCGGATCATGCTCGAATCGTTCCTCCATTGTGGTTCGAGTTTTCACTTGTCTCTTGAAGAGCAGATTTCGTGGCAGGCGCAGCACTTTGTGAACCTGCATGTGCAGATTTCGTGGCAGGTGCAGCACTTTGTGAACTTCGAGGTGCAGATTTCGTGGCAGGCACAGCACTTTGTGAACCTCCATGCGCAGATTTCGTGGCAGGCGCAGCACTTTGTGAACCTCCGGGCGCAGATTTCGTGGCAGGCACAGCGCGTTGTGAACCTCCATGCGCAGATTTCGTGGCAGGGACAGCACTTTGTGAACCTCCATGTGCAGATTTCGTGGCAGGTGCAGCACTTTGTGAACCTCCATGTACAGATTTCGTGGCAGGTGCAGCACATTGTGAACCTCCATGTGCAGATTTCGTGGCAGGTGCAAACCTCCATGCGCAGATTTCCTGGCAGGTGCAATACAAAATGCGTTTTCGAGAGATAGCGGACGAACGAAATGCTGTATTTTTCAGTAGAACCGGTGGCTTCGAACCTGGCAAGTCTAGCTCTGCGGAACGACGGTTGCGAGACGGTCTCGGGTCATGGTCGGATCATGCTCGAATCGTCCCTCCATTGTGGTTAGAGTTTTCACTTGTCTCTTGAAGTGCAGATTTCGTGGCAGGCGCAGCACTTTGTGAACCTGCGTGCGCAGATTTCGTGGCAGGTGCAGCACTTTGTGAACTTCGAGGCGCAGATTTCGTGGCAGGCACAGCACTTTGTGAACCTCCATGTGCAGATTTCGTGGCAGGTGCAGCTTCTCCAAACCTCGACGGGGAAGCTCCCCGGAACGACGGTTGCGAGACGGTCTCGGGTCATGGTCGGATCATGGTCGGATCATGCTCGGAATCGTCCCTCCATTGCGATTAGAGGTTTCAGTTGTTTCTTGAAGTGCAGATTTCATGGCAGGCACAGCGCTTTGTGAACCTCCATGTGCAGATTTCGTGGCAGGCGCAGCACTTTGTGAACCTCCATGCGCAGATTTCGTGGCAGGCGCAGCACTTTGTGAACCTCCGTGTGCGACTTTGTAGTACAACTTTAGTATGCGGAGTATCTGCGGAGCTGGAAGATGAGAACTGGCGACTTTGTAGTACAACTTTAGTACGCGGAGCAATCTGTGGAGCTGGAAGCTGAGAACTGGCGACTTTGTAGTACAACTTTAGTACGCGGAGTATCTGGGGAGCTGGAAGATGAGAACTGGCGACTTTCTAGTACAACTTTAGTGCGCAGAGCAATCTGTGGAGCTGGAAGCAGAGAACTGGCGACTTTGTAGTACAACTTTAGTCCGCGAAGCACTCTGGGGAGCTGGAAGCTGAGAACTGGCGACTTTGTAGTGCAACTTTAGTACGCGGAGTATCTGGAGAGCTGGAAGATGAGAACTGGTGACTTTGTAGTGCAACTTTAGTACGCGGAGTATCTGGGGAGCTGGAAGATGAGAACTGGCAACTTTGTAGTACAACTTTAGTACGCGGAGCAATCTGTGGAGCTGGAAGATGAGAACTGGCGACTTTGTAGTACAACTTTAGTACGCGGAGTATCTGGGGAGCTGGAAGATGAGAACTGGCAACTTTGTAGTACAACTTTTTAGCACGTGGAGCAATCTGTGGAGCTGGAAGATGAGAACTGGACTTTGTAGTGCAACTTTAGTACGCGGAGTATCTGGGGAGCTGGAAGATGAGAACTGGCGACTTTGTAGTACAACTTTAGTACGCGGAGTATCTGTGGACCTGGAAGATGAGAACTGGCGACTTTGTAGTACAACTTTAGCACGTGGAGCAATCTGTGGAGCTGGAAGATGAGAACTGGCGACTTTGTAATACAACTTTAGTACGCGGAGTATCTGTGGAGCTGGAAGCTGAGAACTGGCGACTTTGTAGTACAACTCTAGTGCGCGGAGCAAGCCGTGGAGCTGGAAGCTGAGAACTGGCGACTTTGTAGTACAACTTTAGTACGCGGCTGAGTCATCTCTATTCTGTATTTTGCAAAAATGCATGAACAACGTTTTGTCCTGCGAGACAGTTGACGGTGGTTGCTTCGCTTTCGCTCCAAGTTGGTTCCAACTTGTTTTGTCAAAGAACATCGCAGCTCGGCGAATCAGCCTGCCACTTCCTATAGGTTTATTCTTTTGGAAACTTCCGCCGCCGGCTTGCCCGGGAACTACTTGTATATCTATTACAGTATATACTTGCGAGTCAAGAGCTGCTTGCAGCGATCTCTCCATCTCTCATCATATCGAATCATTGTCTCTTTGATGGTCCCTTTACTATCTAGAGGCATGTGACAGTGCATAGATCGAGCGAAAAGGTGCCTCTACTGACTCCAAAGTTGACGCAAGGACTCGGCTCAGCTCTGAACCCACTAAGGCTGCACATGCGATCATGAGCGTCACCTGAAAATGTCAACAGAAACAAGTCGAACAAGAAAACATGGAAAACATGATCCTTCAGTTCTGCAATCCACCATTGAACTATGTGCCACCTGGAGGGCTTCTCTGCCAGCGTCTGAATACCTGACCGGGATGCAAGTCCATAAACCCCGACGATTCAGGTCCCGAATCTTAACGAGTTCAGAAGCCATCGGCTCACAATCCATCAGCGTCACATTCTCTACCTCAAACACGTGCTATCAAAGTTTCTTGCTTCCATAGAGATGCCCAGCTGCAGGCTGAGGAAAGGACTTGCTGCTGCACAGCCAAAAGCCGAAAGTAGAATCGCCAAACAAGTCCATACCTAGCTTCAACATGCTTGAAGTAGCTTCTATGAAGGCGCTGGCACTGATACAATCCTTTTTGTCTGCCTACTCCTCCTAAACAGACAAGGTCACCAATGCTATGTACAGCTTGCTGTCAAGCTAAGTTCACAACCATGGCTGGCTGCCCAGTCCCTGCTATTTAGGGGTGCTGTAGTGGCGGAATGGAAGTTGAGAAAGCTCATTCAACGCTATTTCGTTCGGATGCCGAGCAGGTGGATGCCCATGGCCTTGAATCGCATCACCAGAACCACACTTTACCATTTCCTCAGCATTTGAATAATGTTTCAAAATTATTCCCTTGCTAGTCAGCTAGTGTACCTTCTGACTGAGACAGTCACGGAAATTGCCGAGGAGTTCAAGACTCCTGTGTTTCTTGTGAGTCGGAATGTAGTTCGGCCTCATGCCAAAGGTACAAAGCTCAGCAAAAAGGCTACGTTACCAGATTGCACTTGAATACACTTAGGGCATGGCTTCAAGCGAAATACAGAGTCGCTGAGCCAAACAGCAACAGAAACGCTTGGACATGAAGAGCAAAATGATTGAAGTCCATTGGTTTTAAGATCTTCAAATACATACATACATACATACATACATACATACATACATACATACATA